TCAAGATTACAAGTAATTATGCATAAGTACAACTTATTAAAGTTCGATGTTTGAATTCATATAAATAACTGCGGATAAACATAATCAAATAGAGGATGAACATCTCATTTTAAAATATAAAAAAATCTAAAAATAATTAGAATAATTATTGAGTTCCAACAAAATAAATAATTGTTATGTTTATAAAAAAAATTATATTATTAAACCAAATATAAATTACTTTGTTATTGTACGTAAATTAAATTATAAAAAAATTGAATTAAAAAATTACACAAAAAAATGAGGAATTTCAAATAGTTAATTTGGTACTAATATCGATATATTTTTGTCAAATTTTTATGATATCTTCAAACATATATTTTATTCAAAAATAAAAACATCATCGTTTTCTCAAAAATCACATAAAGCCATATTATAACATCGACTGAGATAAATAATAAACTAAAATATTAAAATCACGATGTATCTCGCTGCATTGCGCGAGTACACTTCTAGTATATATATATATATATATATATATATATGTGTGTGTGTATACGTATGCAATTTTTTTTTGAAAGAACGTATATTATATATCAAAATTAAACTTAAAATATAATAATTTTAATATATATTACATTAGAACAATCAATTAATTTAACAAACTTAAGATATATAAAAAATTAATAATATTTTAATTTTCAAAGTTAATTACAGATTTGGTCCCTGTGATTTGTGTGGTTTTATTGAAATTGGTCCTTTGAGCAAAGACAAAAAAAAAAAAAAAAAGGGATGGAAAGGCGTCAAGGTTAACAAAGGAATTAGATGGTAGTTGGAATAAGGACCAATTCATTACAAAACGACATACGACGAATTTTAATCTATTATGAATGAAGTTCTAGACCATTTTCATAAAACCATCAAACCACATGAACAAAATCTATAATTAACTCTAAATGTAAGTTAATATGCGAATTATTAAAAAAATTATTTAAGAAAACTAACTTTACTAATTCATATGAATTAAAATAGAGTTATTGAGTTAAATGATCATTTTCCTAATTTAAATTGATCTCTTAATCATTTCTTTTTCGGATCGACCCAAATGTCAATACTTTTGTAATATTCAGGTCCACAATATTCAATTGTGACGACCGGTCTGCAATTGTGATGACCATGTCTGCAATTGCAACGATAAACTGGTTGAAATTGATATTTTTTTTTCTCTTATAAATAAGTTACTGATGTAGTGATATTTGAATAAATTGAAAAAAAAATGGTTAGGAGCCCATTAAATATTTATGTAATGAACTATATATAACACTTTGTTTCATGATATTATATATAATTAGAAGGATACTCGCGTAATGCAACGAGATACATCTTGATTTTAATATTTCATTTTATTTTTTATCTCAATCGATGTTATACTATAGTTTTATGTGATTTTGAAAAAACGATAATGTTTTTCTTTTTGAATAAAATATAAATTTGAGAATATCATAAAATTTTGACAAAAATATATCAATATTAATATGAAGTTAACTATTTAAAATTCCTATTTTTTGTGTAATTTTTTAATTCAATTTTTTTTATTATAATTTAATTTAGGTTTAATAACGAAATAATTTATATATGGTTTAATAATATATTTTTTTATAAAGATAATAATTAAGTAATCTGTTAGAACTCAATGATAATCTTAATTATATTTTAATTTTTTTATATTTAAAATGAGATGTTTATTCTCTAACTGGTTCTGTTTATCCGCAGTTAGTTACGTGAATTCAAACATGGAGCTTTAATAAGTTATACTTAAATATAATTTACTTGTAATCTTGAATTTTAAGTAATATGCATCAATATACAGTACCTCATGCATAAAAAAATGATTTTTAAAAGTTTTTATCAAATGCTTTTATAATATACTAGAAGAGTATTTGCATAATGCAACGAGACACATCTCATTTTTAATGTTTTATTTTATTATTTGTCTTTGTCGATGTTATAATACATTTTATGTGTTTTTAAAAAGCAATAATGATTTTATTTTTTAAATAAAATATAAACTTGAAGATATCATAAAAAATTAAAAAAATATATATCAATATTAATATCAAACCAATTATTTAAAAGTTCTCATTTTATATGTTATTTCTTAAATTTATATTTTTTAAGTTTAATAATGAAATAATTTATTTTTGGTTTAATAATATAACATTTTATAAAGATAATAATTAAGTATTATGTTAGAACTCAATGATTATCTTAATTTTATTTTAGATTTTTTATATTTAAAATTAGATGTTTATCCTATATTTGATTATGTTTATCTGCAGTTAGTTACACGAATTTAGATATAGAGCTTTAATAAGTTGTGCAAAATCTACTTATAATCTCGAGTTTTATGCAAAATTACTTGTAATCTTAAGTTTTAAGTAATATACATTAATAAATAATAGTTCACCCATACAAAAATGAATTTTAAGAGTTTTTACCAAATGTTTTGTAACACAGTATACTTAGTATAGATAATTGGCAGGGAGATTAAGGTAATTCGAACCATTTGATTCCTGTCGATGCATAAAAGTTCTTCGAGATCTAAACCATTCATGGTGATGTTGTATTAACAACCGTCCTGCTGCCATCGCCATTTCTGTTTTCTTGGAATTTATGCCGCTGTTCGTCACTCTATCCCCTTTCTTATTCTTCAACAATTTTCCTTGCTAAGAAACCCAATTCATTTCCATAAATTTTAATTCAGCTGAAATTGATTGTGGGGATCGGAGGAAAATAAATAATGTTGGCGAAAGCAGATCCTTCTCAGAAACTGTATACGCGCATGCGATTATGGGAAACTCCTGATCAATACGTTGTGGAGCCTAGTGATGGTTCTTCTGGATCTTGTTTGGCAATCAGTCGTGCCGATGGCACCATGACTCTCCTTGGTTTGTTCTCAATTCGACTCATTTCTCTTCGGTTTAAAATTTCTTGACTTCTATTTAGATATGCTACTATACGAGACTATAATAAACGCATCTTACCTTAATTGTTATAAGCCACGAGATTTGATTTGATCACCCTACCTCTGCGGTAGTTTTAAGTATGGATGCCAAAAGACCATATGCACTTTGTAATCTATGTTACGAGTTCATGTACAATGTTCTAATATGTTAGATTGGAATTGTTTTCCATCATTTCCATTGAAAAATTGCCACAATTTTCATTTTGGGATGCCTCTTAGAGTTCCAGCATTTCTTCTTCTGAAAAATGTTAAAACTAAAACAACTAATATGCCAATTGTCATTGTTAAACAGATTGATGGTCATCGAAGGGAATTTAGTCATATAACTACATGTATAGTCAAATGCTGCATTTTGTTGACATGTAGATCTAGAATTGAAGTAGGAGGTAGTATTTGAAGTCTAGGAGCTCGGACAATGTTGTAACATTTGTAGTTACTTTTTCTGCTACCCATGTGATTTTTGTTACAAACTTCGATTTTAGTAGAAGCTGGTGGTGCTGGTTGGTCTTATTACTGCTACAATAGTTTATATATTTAAATCTTAGCTGATGGATTTGTTACTGTTTCATTTTGTGTAGATGAAATTCCAAGCTCTGGCGGCCGCACTCCAAAAATTCAGACCATTTTTGGTGTTGTTGGGATATTAAAGCTTTTGGCAGGTCAGATGATGAAAATATTAGTAACTTGTAGATCTGTGTAGTGGCATACTTGCTTTTGGATGTTGTTTGTAATGCCTATGCATACAACATTCATGACTCTATCATGCCATATGCTTGATCAAGAATACACAGGATCTACGTGATTCACTGACTTCAAATTCGAACCATAGCATGTTTAAGAACAATCAGAGCTTTTCCTTATTAGTTTTTGAGTTGAAAATTATCTTAGTTATGTGGCATAGATGCTTAAATGGGTATATAGATTAGCGGAACATGTAGTCCGCTCCAACAAGACTTGTATAATTTAGCTGGGTAAAGTATAACATTGACTGTCCATATCTTTCCAGTGGGTCATAACTATTTTAGGAAACTACAAACAATTTTTTTCCTTCTGATTTCGAAACATTAAGTCTTGGCCTGTTTTAGTTTGTCGAGAATAAAGGTTGATTCTCTTTTAGGCATCTCAAGTTGCATATTCGTTCAGAAATTCAATTATGATCAGAAAAAAGAGATGTAGGAATTGGATTTATTGGCCTTCAGTAATTTAGAGAAGGAAACGAGGAAAACCAATCTTTTAGATGCAACGATATAAGGAGAACCCACGAACTCCGACTTCTCAAACAAGGGTTCATTTGCAGATTGAAAAGCAAGTACCATCTTTCCACTTATGGTTTCAGCTTGCACTTCATCCTCAGCTATGAATACTTTCGTAACAAGTGGTTAAGAACAATTGGAGTTCTCACTTCTTGATTTCATAAAGTGTTAGATACGTTCTCTATGAGAAGTCAGAGAATGGAGATCCACACACCGTTTGAAATTTTTTGGGCGATAAACGGTGTACGAAGGTTAACTTGACATATGATAAAAAGAAGATCTGTTGCTTTTCTCATAAACAATAAACAAGTAATCAAGGACTATGAACCAATGCCATCAACATTTGGATAAAAGTTGAGATGCTTCAGTTACTTAACTGACATTCTTGCATGCACTTCTTTGAATCCAAATTGTTTGACAAAAGTTATTACTGAAAATGATAAGAAACCGATTCAATGACATTTTGAGGAACTAATGTCTAGTTTTTGGAAGATACTAATCAAAGTATGACCATTAGAGTTAACTGGTTCTAAGGGTTGGATGCCTTTCATACATGCATACCCAAGTTTATGTACATATCTGCTTTCCTTCTGTTTTTTGGAAAAGCAGAATATTGATTGACAAACCAAAAAGAAGAGGAAAAGGAATCTAAGAACTGATATTATGCAGATGCTATTTTAGTTGTAATGCTTCATTCATTGACTTTCCAACTGCTTTTCTCTGTCTCCAGGATCATATCTATTCGTTATAACTGAACGAGATTGTGCTGGATCTTACTTGGGTCATCCCATTTTCAAAGTTTCAAAACTGAAAGTCTTTCCCTGTGATTATTCCTTGAAAAACTCTCCCGAGGAACAGGTGAAACTAGTGGAGGTTGCTGCTTTTATTTTTGGTTTTTTTTACCGGTTACAGTATATGTAATATGTTACAATCCATTTCTGGCAGAAAAAGATGGAGTCCGAGTTTTCTGCCATGTTAAAAGTTGCAGAGAAGACTCCTGGCCTCTACTTTTCATATGATGTTAACATAACTTTAAGGTCCATCTCTTTCTCTAAATTATAAAGTGATAATTTTTGCACCGAGAACTGATAGTCTTTATTGTGAGCTCTGTTGTTCCTCGTTTGGTGTTTTATGTTCCCTTTGTCTCCAACTCTCCATCCATATCAAAATGTTCTTTAGTGTGCATATTTGGATATTAGTTTTCATATTACATGAAGTGAGTACTTCATTAATATTGAAATATGGTTTTGGCATAAAAGATACTGGAAAACTGCTGGGTGCAAACAAGCATATCATATACATACCTTCATTTTCTCTTCCATAAATAGAAAAAGACAAAAGAAACTAATTGATGTAAAACAAAAATGGCATAAGCTTCCTTGAGTAGCATTTCACATATTGTTTTCTTTGTTTTTGAGTTTTAATTGGATTAAATACAAAACCATAGAAAAACAATGTTCCATACGATGTTAAGAAAACATAATTGGTTGATAAAATTCTGTAAATGTAAGATATAGATTGCATTTTATATCATGTTAACATAATTGTTTTGTACATTATAATTAGTTTTACGGAAAGGACTTGTAAAAAAGACAAGGATGGTAAACCTTTTTCGTGCCATTTTTATCTTTCAGTGCACAACGGTTGAATGAATTGGGTGATGATTCGAGGCTTCTTCCTCTTTGGAGGCAGGCAAGTTTTGTCTTCAAATGAAAATCTTTGATGTTCTTTAATTTTATCTATGCTAAAGTTAATCTCTTAAGTCTGCATGTATAAAAAATGGTGGTTTCTGGCATATAAAACGCCAGTTCAGCTTTCTCATACACTCTCCTCACCTTTGGTGAGGTTTGAACCCCTGACCTCCTGGGAGGCCGAAGGTCCGGCTTACTGCTAGACCAAAGTCCCTTTGATTGTTTATATATTTGTAATAAACTTGTAATTTCCTTGCGACAGGCAGAACCTCGGTTCCTTTGGAACAACTATATGTTGGAAGTCCTCATTGATAACAAGGTTAGTTTTCACTAAATTTGGGACATAGCTAAATCAATTGCTTCACTTTTCAGAAAAACTGACTTCCTGAATTTACCATCATCACCTTGCAGCTTGACCAGTACATGCTTCCTGTTATCCAAGGCTGTATCCTTTTATCAATGTGGCATGTGATATCATATCAGTTGTCACTGCATCAGCATTCGCATGAGTGGTCAGTGTTTTGTCTGTGTGTGTGTGAGAGAGAAAGAGGAGTGTGGCTGCAGAGGTGGATCCAGAATTTTTTTTAAGTGATGGCACAAAATAATTACTGTAGAATAAAATAAAATATAATTACAAAATAAATTCTTTATAGTAGCAAATTGCAATATAAAACACTAAGAAATCATTGTAAGTCAATGATTTACAATCAGGGGTTTTATGTTTCAGCATTAAGACTCAAATTTAAGTTTCGATATGCTATTGTAGCCTCTTAAATTTCTGGCAACAATGCCCAGTGGTAGCACAAAACAAATCACAGTGTTGCACCTTTAAGGGTCGTAAAATGTTTTACACTATGACAAAGTATATTAGTGGTATCCTGTCTGTGCCACCACTTGGTTACAAGTAGATCCGCCCATGAGTGTGAGTTTGTATGTCGTGACTGCTGCAGTTTTTTCTTCTCTCAACTCTGTTTGCTTTTCAAACTTTCCTGATGAGGAATATTGCTTCTATAATAAAAGTTCTTGTTTGTCCTCAACTTATGACCAGCTTTTCAGAACTTCCAATCAGCTATCGGGAAAGATATAATAGACGTCACGCTGATTGCACGGAGGTGCACTAGGAGAACTGGTATGTTTCTGAACACTGGCAGGAGATCAAAGTTTCTCCTTGTAAGACATTTGGATAGAGAATTCAGCACATCATAAGATAGATATTATCCCCTTCTTTCAAGAAAAGATAGGTTAGGAGGAGCAGTATCGGGAAAACACAAACACGAGTAGGTCTTCTTATGTAATTGTGAAAAGCAATGAAAAGATCAGCATCTCTGCTTTCTGGAGCAGATAGTTCCTGTGACAATATGTTATCAGATGAATGTTTGCAGACTTGACAAAATAAATGCCAAACCACTTCTAGGCACCCAGCCATCTTTGACAAACTACAATGGCCTGATTAATCTACTGCTTTCAAGCATGCTACTATATCTACTTTGAATAAGTTTTAGTTCTTGAGCATTTGACAATTATGATATCCACTCATTGAGGAGCTATTCTTTCATAAAGTTGCTTATGCTATGGAAATTTTGTATGGAAGTTGTTTTTGGATTTTTGCTTACATGTCATGTTCTTCTAGGTAGACATGTTGTCCTTTTTTCTCCCTTTCATAACATTTTGGGGCACATTGCAACAAATAGCAACATACTTTCACTTGACTTTTCAAAATTGATTGTTTTAGGTTATTTTGATCAAAAAATCTGTAAAATGTTGGCGTTGGCATGGCTGAATGGTTTTTATAATGATTTTCAGAAGTTGGATGATTTTAGTATCAATTATAAAGGACCAAATTAAAAAAACAAAGTGAAAGTGCATTGCTATTTATTTCAAGTTGCCTTTTCTTTTTCATATGTAATTTCACGTTCCCTTCTTATATATGTCAAGTTCTTTGTTGTATCCTGTCACCCATGGTATATTATTGTAAGATATGCCTCTAGTTTCATCAAGTGGCTTAGCAGTGGTGTAATTGTGGTCTTAGCTTATCCGGTGCACTGAGCTTCTTATTCATTTATTAAATTAGGAGAATAGATGTATAGGATCACCTGCCTGTTTTGGCTAACCGTAAGCTGTAAATCTGTGCAGGGACTCGGATGTGGAGAAGAGGAGCTGATTCTGATGGCTACGTAGCAAATTTCGTCGAAAGTGAACAAATTGTACACTTGAATGGGCATACTGCATCATTTGTGCAGGTATACTTCCATATACCTATGTTTTTCATCCTATTGTATGTATCCTTGATGTTTAAACAGTGTTCACCTCTTGTATAAGCCGGTACATGCATTAAACAACCTAAGACCTTCCTATCTGAACTAAAGTTTTAATACTGCATCGAAAAATAAGGCCCATGTATGACATTAAGTGCAAAATGGGTTGCATCTGTTAAAGTTAAGTTAGACATGATTAGTTATGTTAGTTAGCATATGACAGTTAAGTTAGTTATTGTGGGATAATGATGTCGGTTATTTAAAGGGTGTGTCGGTTGGATTAGGGGATGTGTCGATTGGCTTAAAGGGTACAACACTTGGCTGTCCATTTATGTATTTGTCAATCTATTGTATGAAAAAAAATTAACAGAAAATAAAGAAAGTATTTGTGATTAATTTACCTGTGTCAAAATCTCCAACATTGTGGTATCAGAGCCCAGAAGATGGCCTCGAGTTCGAACACTCTGTTACATCCACAACTTCCTAAATTGAATGGGAAGAATTATCATCACTGGAGTATACAAATGAGGGTCCTCTTCAAATCACAAGAACTATGGGATATTGTAGAGCAAGGCTTCAATGAACCAGAAGAAACAGATGAACTCTCACAAGAACAGAAAGATAATTTAAGGGATTTAAGAAAGAAAGACAAGAAGGCTCTCTACACCATATATCAGGTTGTGGACGAAATTATCTTGGAGAGAATATCCTACACGTTTTCTTCCAAAGATGCATGGGATACTCTATACAGAACCTATCGAGGGGAAGACAAGGTAAAGGTTGTAAGATTGCAAACCCTTAGGTGTGAATTTGATGGTCTCAAAATGAAAGATGCAGAAACGATAGAAGAATTTTACAGCAGGGTTATCCTTCTGTTGAATCAACTTAGATTGAATGGTGAAGTCATAGAGGACACGAGGGTAATTGAGAAAATTCTTAGAAGTCTAACCAGAAAATTTGAATACGTTGTGGTGGCCATTGAAGAATCCAAAGACCTTTCAACGTTATCTCTTGAAAGTCTAATTGGAACACTCCAGTCTCACGAATTAAGGATGAGGCAATTCGATACCACCCCATACGAACAAGCCTTTCAATTACAATCTTCAAGCAATCAAGACAAAAACAGAACCTACGGAAAGAATTAGCAAAGAAATTTCCAAGGGAAATACAAGAACAAACAAGACAATCTAGTACAGTGTTTTCATTGTAAAAAATTTGGCCATATAGCCAAGTTTTGCAGAAAAAGAATAGCAGAAGAGAGGGACAACAATTTTATCAATATGGAAGAAGAAGATGAAGCCATATTCATGATACTCGGTACTCAGGAGATCTCTGTCAACAACAATTGGTATATTGACAGTGGTTGCAACAACCACATGTCAGGGAACAAAGATATCTTTGTTCACATAGATGAAATCAGAAAAGAGAAGTAAGGACGGGTGATGACAGAAAATTAAATGTATGTGGAATAGGAGACATCTTGGTGGATACAAAGAATGGACAGAAGAAAATAACAAGTGCATATTATGTGACAGGCCTGAAGCATAATCTGCTTAGTGTAGGACAACTTGTACAAAAAGGCTTTGACTTACACTTTAAAGATGGAGCATGTGAATGGAAGGATCAGAATGGGAAGCCTATGGGAAAAATTAACATGACGGGAAACAAAATGTTTCCTTTAAACTTTACAGAAGATGGTTTGTTTTCTTTCAATTTGTCTACAAAGGATCACTCCATGCTATGGCATCACAGATTTGGTCACACAAATATTGGATATCTGAGTTATATGCAGAGACATAATTTGGTAAAAGGAATGCCAAATTTGAACAAGCTTAAGGACATATGTGAAGGATGCATGATGGGAAAATAGAAAATGGAACCATTTCCCCAAGAAAGAGCAACAAAGCCCTTGGACTTAATTCACACAGATGTGCGTGGACCAATGAAGACTGTATCTATTGGTGTAGAAACTATGGGTGTACTTCTTAAAGGAGAAATCAAAAGTTTTTGAAGTCTTCAAAAACTTTGAGAACTATAATGAAAAGCAAAGTGGTCATAAAATTAAAACCCTTAGATCAGATGGTGGAGGAGAATACAACTCCACTCACTTTGTTAATTTTCTGAAAGAAAATGGGATCCATCATCAGATGACCACTAGATACACACCTCAGCAAAATGGTGTCGTAGAAAGGTTAAATAGAACTATTATTGAGAAAGCAAGAAGTATGCTTAAGAGCAAACACTTAGACAACTCCTTCTGGGTAGAGGCAGTGGCCTGTGCATGCTACTTGATGAATATAACCACCACAAAAGGCCTTTCTGACATGACACCACAAGAAGCTTGGGCTGGATTTAAATCTACAGTGGGTCACCTTAGAACTTTTGGGTGTTTAGCATACTCACTTATCCCTGAATAGAAGAGAAGCAAGTTAGATGAAAAGTCTGAGAAAACCATATTCATTGGCTATAGTAACAAGTCCAAGGCTTACAAATGATACAACCCTATCACTAAGAAGACCATAGTAAGCAGGGATATTGTGTTTGAGGAAGGAAAAGAGTTGAATGACTCATCAAGTTTTTAAAACAAAGAGTCATACAATCCACAAATTATATCAGTTGAAGAGAGGCAGGAAGATGCTCAACAGAATCAAAGTGACCATGATCCTAACACCCAGTTAGACTCTCCTACAACACCCACAACTCCTCAAACCTCTGAAAACTCAAAATCTCAAGCAGAAACCACTGAGAGTCCACCTAGGAGGGGGTATAGAAGTCTTGTGGATATATATGGTGATCCAAGAAGCTTAGAATTCAATGAGAATACAGATTTTGTTCTCTTTTCTGATGCTGATCCAGTATCATTTGAAGAGGCTTGGCATGAAAAAAGGTGGAGAGATGCTATGGATTCTGAAATAGAGGCCATAACAAGGAATGACACCTGGGAACTAGTGAATCTTCCAAATGGTTGTAAGTCAATTGGGGTTAAGTGGGTGTATAAGACTAAGCTAAATGAGGAAGGTGAAATTGACAGATTCAAGGCAAGGTTAGTTGTAAAGGGCTACAAGCAGAAACATGGATTAGACTATTAGGAAGTCTTTGCCCCAGTTATCAGAATGAAGACAGTAAGATTGGTATTGGCTTTGGCTGCACACAACAAATGGAAGGTACATCAAATGGATGTAAAATCAGCTTTCCTCAATGGTTTTCTGGAAGAGGATGTATACATAGACCAGCCTGAGGGATACATAAAGAAAGGGGAGGAACACAAAGTGTGTCACTTCAAAAAGGCACTGTACGGATTGAAGCAAGCCCCAAGGGCTTGGTACAGCAGAATTGAGAATTACTTCTTAACACATGGTTTCACAAAATGCCCTCAAGAACATACTCTCTTCACTCAAAAACAGCAAGGTATGATTCTGATAGTTTGTATATATGTTGATGATCTAGTGTTTACTGGAAACTCATATGAATTGATAGAAGATTTTAAAGAAAGCATGAAGAAGGAGTTTGACATGACTGATATGGGCTTCCTTCATTACTTCCTGGGAATTGAAGTAAAACAGAATGAAGATGGGATCAGAATTCTCCAACAAAGGTATGCTCAAAACTTAGTAAACAAGTTTAATATGGGAAAGTCCAAACCTGCTGTTACTCCTATGGACTCTGGAATCAAATCATCAAAAGACAGCAGGGAAGAAAGCGTGGATGGGAGCCTGTTCAGAAGCCTAATTGGCAACCTCATGTACTTGACTGCCACAAGACCTGACTTGGTGTTTTCAGTAAGCATCTAAAGTAGGTTCATGGAATCTCCTAAGGTAAGTCATTGGGAAGCTGGTAAGAGGATCCTAAGATATGTAAATGGCACTCTAAACCGTGGAATTCTCTACTCATATACAAAATATTTCAGATTAATAGGTTTTAGTGACAGTGATTTTGGAGGGAATCTTGATGATGGAAGAAGCATAGGAGGCTACATTTTTATTTGGGATCTGTGGCTGTTTCTTGGCAATCAAAGAAACAAGGTGTAGTTGCTCTATCCTCTGCTGAGGCAGAGTACATGTCCCTCTCTATTACTGGGTGTCAAGCCATTTGGTTAAGGGGTATTCTACAAGAATTGGATCATACTCAGTCTGGCCCCACTACCATTTTCTGTGACAACAAGTCTGCCGCCGCTTTGTCAAAGAATCCAGTGTTTCATGGGAAAAGCAAACACATCAGGATCAAGTTTCATTTTATCAGGGAATTAGTGTCAAACGAGGAGGTCAAGATTGAACTCTGTGGAACTAAAGACCAACTTGCAGATTGCTTTACTAAGGCCCTCCAGCTTGGAAATTTCAACAATATGAAGCAGCGTTTGAAGGTTTATCCATGTCTAACTTAAGGGGGAATGTTAGAATTAAGTTAGACATGATTAGTTATGTTAGTTAGCATATGACAGTTAAGTTAGTTATTGTGGGATAATTATGTCGGTTATGTAAAGGGTGTGTCGGTTGGATTAGGGGCTGTGTCGATTGGCTTAAAGGGTACAACCCTTGGCTGTCCATTTATGTATTTGTCAATCTATTGTATGAAAAAGAATTGACAGAAAATAAAGAAAGTATTTGTGATTAATTTACCTGTGTCAAAATCTCCAACAGCGTTTAATTCAAACTCTAATAACAAACATATCTGCTATGTATATATGTGTTATACATTGAAGAGGATCCTTAATAGCCTCATATGAATGACGATATTGTTTTTGTTGAATCACATAATTACAAATATTACTGTTTATATTTTTTGTTTTGTAGGTCCGTGGATCAATTCCATTTCTCTGGGAACAAATTGTCGATCTGACATATAAGCCTAGGTTTGAGATTGTGAAACCAGAGGAAGCAGTGAGTATATTATGCATATAAATCTTTTTGCACTAATTACAGTACACTTGATTTGCCTCTATTTCTAACATCCTTCATTTCATATGATTTCTGCAGCCTCGAGTTGCTGAGAGGCATTTTCTGGATTTAAGGAAGAAATATGGAAATGTTTTAGCTGTTGATCTTGTCAATAAGGTATATAATTTCTCTGTCATGATGGATTTGGTGCTTCTAATGCTTGAATATCAGGTTAACCTAGCTTTAACGTTTTTTAAGCATGGTGGCGAGGGGCGCTTGAGCGAAAAATTCGCGTCTGCAGTACAGAATATTCTTAGTGATGATGTGAGGTAGAATCTTTTTTCATATTTGCAGTCTGAATCATATGTGGGTCTATATATTCTATGCTATATGCTAAATCTGCCGACCTTTGTAGATACGTGCATTTCGACTTTCATCGCATCTGTGGACATATACATTTTGAGCGCCTATCCATCCTTTATGACCAAATAGAGGATTTCCTGGTTAAAAATAGGTACGTTTTATTTGTATAAATTATTAGTAATCTTCTTAGGGTCCTATGTTCTTCGAAATGTAATGTTTTTAAGGAAAAAAAATTCCAGATCCAGATATTTGTTGTTTCGATGATTGTACTGGGTGGCCAAACTTGAAATTTACACGATCATGTAGTGATGGAAGTTATTCTATCCAATATAGGGTGTTGCATAATTATGTGAATTATTCGTTAGATTAGGAGTTGCTCAAGTGATTCTACTATTCACGTTTTTCTAAGGGTAGTTTATGGGAATTTGGAGTAGACACTTACAGACTTTTTCCTATGCAAGAAGGCAATTTCAAATAATATGACCATAGCTACTTATCCTTTGAGGATCTCTGTGCCCAAACCTAAACGATTCACACACAATCAGAGTCAGGGATGGCCAGAACTTGTGAGCATGGTGCAACACCTCCAGGTGACTCGGATCTTGAAAGTTGCAAATAGAATACAAACAACTCTTATCTTGCAGACTTAGCAACCATATGGTAGCACCAATGCCATATGGTTTCAACGTCTTAAGCAATCAGGTGTGATGATCAACGACTGTATTTTAGAATTTACTCATCTTACTTTCGAAAACTGTAACATGATGACGCGGTAGGAAGTGCGGAAGGATCGACAAGCATCTAAACCTTTGTGATATACACCAAAAGAAATGGGATGGAATTGCAAATGTAATCGACTGATTAATGGGGAAAATCAGTTGAGTTAGGTTTCTGGCTTTTGATAAGCCAGTCTCTCCACAGATTCACGTTCAAACAGAATGCCTCTCTACCAGTCCTCACACTCTTATTTATACTATCCCTGTGCATTACCTATTTGTACCTCTTAAGCAGTAACTACTTGTACTACTATTAGTATAGAGTATAACAGATTGTGGAGAATTACCGATGTAAAATTCAGAGAATAATCTCAAAGCAAGAACTTCATTAAATAATCAAAATCTGCCTAATAACATGAACTAAAAAGGTTTATAAAACAAATAAAGGATATCTAAAATATTTATGAAACTTATAGATGAACTTAAAAGTAATAACAATAAATAAAAAGGAAATCGTTGTTGCTGAAAGACGCTGTGGGTAGTCGAGATGGGGCCGCATGGAAAACACAGGCGACTAGCCGCGTGGTAGGTCGCGGGGGTCAAACAGTGAGTTAGGCGGGAGGGGCCACGGTCCAAGTCGCGGGAAAGGCCGTGGGAGCTTCTGTTTCAGATTCCAGTGATGCACGTGACTTCTCAGGCGACTTGGGTCGTGGAGAAGGTCGCGGGGTCCTATGTTTGGACTTTTTCCCTGTTCTGATTCGTTCTTGTATCAGTCCGTAAATCAATGTGGCTCCTTCATGGACCATCTTCAATCTCTGACCCATATTAAGATTAAGAGGCAAGGGGTGCAAGACTTCCTCTTCTGTAACCTAAGATAAACCATGATGCCTGAGCATGCTGTGAGAAAGGTAGGAGTGAGAAATAGTACAAGTCTCGTCTCGACACGAGTAACTAAACCTAGGATGGAGGCTATATGACGTGATCCCTTCCCTGTAACTGCCTTGTGTACGAGGAGCCACATTGATTTAGGGACTGATAGAAGAAGAAAAAAACGTTTCCTTCCCATGGTTGCTACGTTCCACGGGGAGGAACATTCTCCAAAACAGAACAAAATTCACCATAAATTGGTGCAATCTTTCTTTGCACCATCAATTCCTAACATGAAAAATTCAAGACAAAGGATCTCATGTTCTTGAAGCTCAGTAAGCTTTGGATTAAACAAACGGCATCCCACAAGTTCATCACGAAGGAAATTTGGCTAGCATGGGGTTACCCTCACAGATGTTAGCATCATAAAAGGAGTGCCTGTTTGAGTTGAACAATGGAAGGATTCCTCTCGATGACTATAAAATAGTCTTAGCTGGAGTTCTTTGACAAGACAAACGCGGCTCCTTACCATTCAGAAAATCCTTGTGACATCAAGTAAAATGGGGCTATAATCATGGTAACTACATGGAGTCAAACACAATCTCCTCGATACAATTCTATGATGGAGGAGCAAGACCATCCCAAAACAGATCATAGCGAGGGCTCTACAAACACACATGTGGAGTGTAGTGGGCCGTCTAAGAAGCATTCTCCAAGAGGCACATGGCCATCGTAAAATTCTCAAGGAAAGTATAATGTTCCTTGAGATGTTTTAGGGTTCCTGTCTATCATGCACCTCTAGGACTACTTTCATATTCAAATTAAGTCTTAAATATTTGAAGTGGACCCTCCAAACATCATGAAACTAGAATGCCCCTAATTTTAGAGAATTCTTGTTAATATAATAATCCTTCTAGAGGTTCTGACGCCTATAAGTCAGAAGCTCTAGTGTCAAACATAAGAACATACCAGCTCTCTCCGTCACATTAGGGACTGATATATTGTCACGACATGGTTTTAAGGCTTAAATTTTGAGAACGCTCTTGTATTAATGACTTGCACATCGTACAGAAAAATCTATACATTGTTTTAATTCAGATAATTTCAACTTGGGAAAGGGAGAAATGTGATAAGTAAACACATAGAGAACTATGATCGCTCCAATGAATAACCAGAGGAAGAAAGAAGAGGAACCAAAACGGAAAGAAAAAAGAAAATAGAAAATCAGTGAGGAACAAGAAACGATTTATCGATGAGATGAGGGACATGTTCAACTCATGCATTCAAGAAAAAATTGTTACTCTGGTTCTAGTATGTCTAATTCTGATCGTCTTCAGTTTTGTTCAATTTGGTTTTTCAATATTGTTTTACCATAAAAGGTAAATTTTGTCCATTTCAAGACCCTTCTTTGGGTTAGATTTCTTCCGATGATGATGCCCTAAGATGTCATTCAAGGTGACTGGACGCTGTGCTAATTGGCCAAGGCCTGGATGCCAAGTTGTCTTCATGGCATGATTTTAGCCAGTCCTGTAAATGAATATTCTGTCATTCAAAATACAAAAAGTCAATGTGTAACACCCCCATTCCGAAGGAAGGGAGGTTACTTCAAAACGTAACGGAGCCGCTATATAAAACCTCCAAAATATAGTCTCCAATACCAAATAAAATCTTCCAATAACGAAATTGAATATAACTCTAAATAAGATATAAAGGTCTCCAAACAAACCATYTCCAAAATCCTTCAACAACCGAGAAAAATCCAAAAACAACCAAAGAAATCTAATCTAATAGCCAAAGAAAAAGATTCTAATAAGCGAAATAACATAGTTCTAAACCTCTCGAAACCTTGAAACCAAAATCCTGGTCTACTCTC